GTTGGGTGATAATTGCAAGATACCGAGGTCAGTTCAGATTTTGACAGGGGGCGAGCATGTGCAAGCTTTCAAGCTTGAGGAAAGGTTCCCGTTAATGAGAAATTAATTAAACGCGTGAGTGACGGAAGGGCAAATGGTAAAACAATTCAATTGTTTGGCTGTGATACCATCAGAGCAATTTGCATTATATTTTTGTGAAGGACAATCTTACTAAGTTCGTGATGATCAACGTTATGGTAATAAAATTTATCTCTGATAGCACGTGAATTGCTTGCAAGCCTCTGTAATGTATTACATTTGATGCAGTGTGGTATTGGTTTTGAAACATTTACAAAGTAGTCATTAATATCATTCAAGGGCATATCAACAGGAATTTCAGAAGAATTTGCTTCCGTGATTCCGAGGTCTCTCAGTTTGTTCCAAACGTCTTTTGTGTTTGTATTTACTTTAAAGACATCATTATAATATAGAATTTTCGGGTTCTAATTTTTTGTTTTACAAAACTTTTTGTACTCTCTTTCATTTTCAGAGGTTTTATTACACTTGAAACGATAGTAAGCTGAGTCGCATTCCAGTATGAATTGCTTTAATTTACTTGTAAGCCACGGGGCTGTGGGGCGTGTCACACGTCGTGTTTACCATGGTGCATGTTTAACGAAAAGATCGTATATAATTTCGTTGACGACTTCTACTTTACTATTAAGAGATGTTTGATTATAAACGTCAAACCAAGGAGCTTTGGCACCGTCGTCGAACATAGCCTCTGAATTAATATGTTTGTAGTCACGGTAGCGGATTACTTTTTGCTTATATTTAGGGCATTTTATAGAGTACACCATAAATAGCAAATCATGCTTTGATACTCCCGAAAAAGATATCTGACCGTACATTAATATTTTCGAAGTGTCAGACACAATCGCGTGATCAATCCATGTTTCAGCTCCTAATGACGAGTAGGGCCAAATTCTAATAACTGTAAATTGTATGAATTAATAGTATCAATAAACTTTTCGATCGAGTTTGTGAGCGGTACCTTCAGATCGCAATTCAAATCACCCATGATTCTGATATTTACTTGCGAATTGCGAAAGGGGAATTTCTAACTCGGATATAACTCCCGTTTTCGGGGGCCAGTAAACAACAGCAACAAGTAAACGTTTCGTTTCAATTTGGATTTCCGCAAACATATATTCCATGCCAGGTAAAGAGAATGTGGAGTGAGCGACTACTTTAACCGTAGTGTCATCGAGAACAAACAATACGATACCTCCACCCGTCTTTTCGTTTAAATTGCTTTTAATTACCGACCTATCATTCTGAAGGAGTTTATAATTAGATACGGATACGAGCCTGATTTTATTGTAGATTTTAGCCATGTTTCGCTTATTAATAACAGGTCTGGTTTAGTTTCAGTTATAATACTTGAAATTTCAGAGTAATGCTTCTTGCTTCAGAGTAAGTGATCACGCTTCAGAGTAAGTGATTGGGCATTTACGTGGAAAACAGACAAGCCACGAGGGAACTGAGACAAAGATAGTTGTAAATCCTTGAGGGGAAATCCTGCAGGGCTACTTCGAGTGAGTTTGGGACATTCTACGGGGCCGGGGTGAGCCAGCACCCTCTCCACTTTCGGATTAGCAATAAACACAGGTACAGAATTCCTGGAACGCGTGTACTGAGGAAAAGGCGGTGTTAAGCTTCGTTGCCACATTTATGGAGATATCCTCGGTGAAAAAAATTCAGAAAGTAATACGTTGAAAGGATCAGAATTAAATAAGTTGCTTACAGTCACACGTGGAGCACTAAATACTTAGAATTATTCTAATTATTATAAGTTTCTTATAATTACTTAATATTCTTGGATAGTAGTTCACTATAATTATAAAAATAAGGATAGTATTTGAACAAAATAATATAATTAAAAATGTAGTAATATAATTATATTAGTAATAATAAATTAGAAGTAGAAGTATTCATAGTAAATATTATATTAATAATAGTAATAGTAATTTAATATCACTAAAAAATTAGCAAGAAATGAAAAAATTAAAAATTCGTAATTAAAAATATTTATATTTTAAGAACGAAAGATAGTACATCATGTTTTGCTCCTAATTATGTATACTATCCAGTTCTGCTACACAAAGTTCTAACGCGAACTTTGGTATTTCTCACCTTTCGGATGACGATACCATCTGTTGTCCAAACGTTCTGTTAGCCGAAAAGTTCCAGCCTTTTTTAGGACTTCCAGCCGCATCCTCGTCAGGTCCTCCCGATTTGTGACACCCGTTTTCTTCAGGTTTCTTTATGATGAAAACATTTCCCGGCGCTTCCTATAACTGATGAATTTTACAATTTATGGTTGAGTACCACCATTTGTTTTCCGGCCGACTCGATGGCTGCGATTAATGTCGCTTAAGATCTAATTCGACACATATATTTTTGGCAATATTGATTGCAGTGCAGTCTGTGTGCTCGCCATCACGCTCGGGTTCCCCAAAGATCCTTAGGCAATTTCGACGCTGATACTGCTCAAGCTCGTCTGTCCGCTCCAGTTGAAGTTTGAGATCATCGATCTCCGTAGTCTTCTGTAATAGTTTCTCTTCGTAACGATAAACTAAAACCTCCAATTTATTTTCTTCTGCTTCATAAACAACCTACGCAATTTTGCTCATGAAAACATTCGATGTCAGGATGCTTTCAATAAGCGAAGCAGAGACATCGGCATTCGCTTTGGCGTTGCGTGTGGCAATGTTGTTGAACAATTAAAAGGTAAAAACGAACTTACTTTTAGGAAAAAAAACTAAAAGTATTAACAATATATTAAAAATATAGAGGTTATACTTATGCCAAGCAGACACTGGTGTTGTGTGCGGCGCTCTTCACAAACGGTCCTATTGCTAAACAAAACTACCTGCTGCACCGCTCACTGAAAACTGCTGTGATCCTCGGAGCGCTTCGGAGATACGTCCTCACAGCTCGGAGACCATGACACGATTGAATTATTGTATTAGATTGTAATATAATGGCGTAATCCTAACATTTATTAAGACTAACAAATTGATTCAATTGAAATTACTTTTAAAGCTCTTGCTAAAATCTGTGCTAAATTCTTTCCTTTTTTAGTAACGCCCATTCAACTCCTCTGAATAAAGGTATCTTATAGGGCCTGAGCTATCCAGAGCACTAACAAATAACTACTGAGTGACACCTCCGCGAGTTGATCTAATTAATTAAGAGGCACAGATGTCACAGTATGTATGAGAAAGGAGAAATAAGTAAACAATTTTAATTTAGTAGAGAATTAAATTAACTTTTCAAGGCAAATGTTTCAAGATGTGCCCTTCACCTCTTTTTGCAGGTATCTGTACTAGACATTCCAGTGGTTTTCTTCTTTGCACTGGGAAGGCATATGGAGACAGCGTCACCATAACTATGGGCCTGCTTATCTGCTACTGTGGAGGTGCAAACCCTTTCCCTTCAAACCTGTCAGAATGCTATTGTAGTCAAGTTTTAGTCCTTGAATTATTACATATTTTAAAACTACAAAAAGCATGAGTGACTTATGCACTATGCAATGACGTATGCCAATTTATTGATCAATAATTAAAATCAATAAAATAAAATGTTTACTTGGAATGCTTTGAAATTATGGTCATGTCCTTTCGTCTATGAGAAAAGTGCATTTCACTCTATAATTAATTCCAGTGAGGAAAATGATTGAAACAATTGAAATAAAATGGTAGAAACCATTACTTAATTTATACACTATTAGATCAGGGGAGATATACAAATTAGTTAGAACTCAGAAATGATAATTGACTGGCATATTGGAGAGGTGAAACATACTTACACCTGCAGAACATAGAAATGTGAGTTTTCACAGCAAATTTACTCCAAATAGTGTAATGGGACGGTCGCACGAGTCAGGTTGCGACGCGTATTTCACAATTTTATACAATATAACGTTGCTGTGTAAGGAGGCATAGAAATGTGCATCTTTCGCTACGTGCGAGGGTGTAGGAAGCGTCGGGGACGCGGAGGCATGCTGCTCCATTGTCTCGGCTAAGCGTGCTCCGGCCGCATCCGCTGACTCGCCGTCTTGGAACTTGGGTGACCTTTGAGTTTCAACAGAATTTGGCGAGACAAACGGTCATCAATGACACCACGATTGGGTGGCAGAAAGCGCGTGCCAGCCAATCGCGGAAAACGAAGCGGAGGGCCACGCGATCCGCGAACCTGAGGAGGTAGCTGCAGAACACAAGCTCGGCCATTCCGATGGAGGCAACAGCGAGCAGAAGTACCTTTCCGAGGTAGTAACGAGGGCGAGTTTCTTTGGCTTACGGGGGGGGAGGGGGTCAGTGAATGCGCTACCACAACGCGCCGCCGCCTGAATGCATCATCGCCACGTTGCGGGCCGCCTCTGAGGTCAAGGACGAATGACTGTGGGTGCCCAACCTCGAGCCCAGAACCGACGACGGGTCGAGGCGCGATCACCGCTGCCCGGACCAGGCGTTGCTAGCGCCCGGGGACTTCACCACGCCCGTCCCGACCGCCTTGTTAATGGGCAAAGGGGTGAGGCGAGACGCAGTCGCCGCCTAATCGCACCGCGCCAAGCACCAGGGCGAAGGGCCGCCGCTCCCGTAACCGGGGTCGTGACCGCCGGGAAGGGCGCCGCCCTGCTTCTAAGAATGAACTCTGGCCAGTACGGCCGAATTTAAAATAAGTTAGTTATAGGCTACTTTTAAGGAGTAATTATAACGGGACGCTTCCCCTCATGAAAAGGGAATATTAAATCCCATTGAAAATACACGTTTCAATGGAGTACTAAAACGAGAATTAGCCCTATCACGCATGTCTCTTTAAAGTCTACGAAGTGCGCAGCCGTGGCAACGCTGGAATGCAGTAACCAGATAATCAGGTGAGTCGGGGCAGCCACACGGTTCGTTTGGTTACACTAGGAAAAGAAATGTTGAGGAAACTAAATGATAAGAAACAAGTAGAAACAATGTAGTAAAAATAATTTAATTTGTCACAATGACAATACATGATACTTTTCTTTTTTTTTCATATATAGTGACAACTTTTGATACAAAAATATCACAGATTCAATGAAGACTTTTTGTACATTCACAAAACAATTACTTCATTTTCATTATATTCAAGGAAGGGATAACATACAAAAGCAGTTGTGAAAATTTATTCCTATGTACATAAAAAAAACTTACTACTTCACCTATCTTGTACTTTGAAGCAAAAAGGCTTAAAGAAAAAATGAAGTGTTTTTTTTAATTTATTCTACTCTAATGTCAGGAATACACTAGGTCTTGCAAATCTAATACTTACAATAATTATACAAGTTTAAAAAATTGCACAAGAAGGTATGCAGCAATGCAGGTAATTGCATTAATTAAATAATTTTTTATGTAACTTCTTTAAAAATGAAGAATCGGTTAAAAACTAAATAAAGGAATCTAAAGTATTGAGTAATCTATTGACATTATTCATCTCTTCCTTTAAGAAAGATTGTAACTTCTTGAATTCTAAATAATCCTGTTTGAAAGCAAAAGGGTGAAACTTAACCGATGAGGCTCCTTCTCTCGTTAATTCTGTATTGTATTTCAAATAATTAACTATCCTCGTAACTTCTGAAAATTTAATGTAATATTTAATAGCCAGTGGTGTAAGCACTGCTAATTTAACATACAAAGTTCTTGGTATTGTGAGATCATATACAAGGCCATGATCTTGAGCATTAGAAAGAACACGTTTCATCTCCTCTGAGCGAGCAAGATCCCACACAGAGAAACCTTCACTGTTTTCATGTGAAAGTAATTTTTGACCTGGAAGGAGAAGAAAAAAAAGTTCACTTACATTTACAAAAGACTCTTTAAAACCTTGTTTCAAACTACAGTTCAGAAATCACAATAAAACTGATAGAAGAAAGGTTAAAAAAAATTAGCTCTCAGTATAAAATTTGAAGCTTACATATTTTTCGTAATTTCTCAATTTTAAGGACCAAAATTAGATGAGCATTATTTTATATCCAATCCGACATTTACGGAATTATTTGATGAGCATTAGAAATAACAATTAAAATTCAAGATAATGCATCACTGTATCTGTTTGGTGTGCTTATCTATATGCTTTAACCCCTGATGATAACTTTATTCAAAGTAAAAAATATTACAGGTGGGCACTTTCTTTTTCTGAACAAATTTTACATATTCTGTTAAGATGCACTTTTTAATTTCTTACTAGTGGAAGTGTCTAGCCTAATACAGGCTAAAAAGACAAAAACTGCCAAGGAAATTGAAGTAAAATTTTTTGAATAATGTTTCTACTAGGAGAAAATGAAATAAGAAACATTCTTCAAAATGTATTTTACTTTAATTTTTACCATGTTATTTCTCCTCCCTAATAAAATTACCTCCGTATTGAAGGAGTACAAAAGCCACTTCCAAATGGTTTTTAGAAACAGCATCCATAAGAGGGGTCACTCCACCTTTGCTTCTGGCTTCTAAATCAACAGCTGGACCACCTACAAAGAAATTATTCAATAATTCATGCAGAAAAAATTTATTATTAATTAATTCAATGAATACATGAGAACCAATTATTATTATAAATCTACTACTAATAATAATAGGACATTACCACATTGCCATAATCTAATCTAATAAATAAAATAAATTTTAAAAAGCTCCTCCAGGACACAAAATAGTGATGGAAAAGCAAATACCCCCAAAATAATTATCATCATTACAACCTACTAACTCAGTGCTTGCCAACTCAATGCTCTGAGACTGCTCTCCAAATGGCGAGGCCGAGCAAAGGCAGTGCCTGTGGTATTGCAACGATTGTCCAGAAGTGGGGGGGAGAAGATTCACTTGATAATTACATTTTTAAATGGTATTTATTATTTCAAAGTTTATGATTTAATAAAAATATGAAAACATACGAACAACAACTCCACAGATTATTTCATAACACAAAGCAATATCTGACTATTGTAGCCAGTAATTCCACTTCCATTCTTCCAACACATAATATTATTGGAGAAGACTGTTTTAATATTCTAATACACATTTTTTTCAATGTTATGTAATATGATCATTTTAGTTTATTCTGAACCAATAACACAGGCACACTAAATAAAAAATTTGCCATACCCAAAGACTTGACACATGTATCTCTACGTATGTTAACGTGCTGAATTCGAATCTGAAGCCAGAACTGTGCCACTACCCTCCAGTTTTTTTTAATTCACGAAAAAGCACTGTGAAATTGAATTTTTTTTCCCTTTCGGGGGTTCTTGTCAAACCCAAACACTTGCCTGACACATGTTTCTCAATGCATATTGGTGCGCTGAATCCAAAGCACCAATTGCACTACCGCTCTCTAGTTTTCATAATTGCAAAAAACACGTGTGCATTGATACATTGGTATCTTGTAGCATTATAATCTACAGAAGTTAAAAGTTATCAGACTCAAGACTTAACAAATACCTCTTTATTTTATTATGATTTTTTGCAGTTAGAAAATAAAAAACAACTACAACAACAACAACTGGAGGGTGGAGGCCCAATTCTGGCTTTGGATTTTCGGATTCAGTGCATCGACATACATACAGAAACATGTGTCAAGTTTCTGGGTCTGACTGACTGAGTGTGCGTGTGTGCGCGTGCGTGTTGTGTGCTTGAGGAGAGAGAGAGAAAGAGAGGGAGAGAGAGAAAGAGAGGGAGGGAGAGAAAGAGAGAGATATAGTGTGTGTGTGTGAGAGGGAGAGAGAAAGAGAGTGTGTGTGAGTGTGAGAGCGAGTGCGAGTGCGTGTATGTAATTGATGTTAACAAAAAGATACTGAAGAGGGGTCACGTGGGAGAATTTGGACTCCAGGTTTGATTATTTCATATACAGTTTTGTTTGAGAATGTTGTTTTGTTGAAGATGTTGTAAAATCTTGTCATTTCAGTATCTTTTCAATAACCTTCCATCTGCAAAATCCTTTTCTCATCTCATGATTGCAGGCTATCTGTAAATTCTCAGAAATTATTTTTATTTCAAGAATTTCTCTGGAAGGCATGCGTAATGCCGCTGTTAGTTGAACTTTTTAACATACTTTAGTTCTTTCAAACACACTAAACACTTCACCATTGTTACCGTATCTACAAAAAGAAACATTGCTTCCCAAATCGAAAGGAAAATAACAGGCGTAGATGGGCTCTCATGTTGCCTGAGAAACTGGCAAACATGCACTGCCACTGCAAGGTTTTTGTCTTCAGCAACCCCTCTCTCCCTCCTCCTTTTTCTCATGCCACTTCTCTTATCACCTACCTGTGGAGGGGAATAGAGCTTTGACGACATTTCTCTACCAGTTTGCAAACGCTGTACTACTCATGTTAATATGAAAATTAAAAATACATTCCCTTTCCAGGAAAAACCCAAGGTTAACATAATGAAAAGTAATTTCTAGGAGGATGACAATGCTATGTTCATTGCCGTAGAAATGAGAATTTTCTTTTGAACTTGCCCTTCTGGAATTCACTTTGTACTGAGTCTACATTCAAAACATTCTAGTATACAAAGTATATAGCATTAGCATACAAAGACTTGCTCAGAACGTGACACATAACATACTCGAAAGCTGTTTTTCAATCATGACAACAAAGTAATATTTTTCACACACATGGAAAACAAGTTAAATTCAAAACGAAACATCAATAACACTGTACTGAATGCCATCAACAGTGGATATTTTGAAAGGTGAAAGTATCTATTTAGATTATTGTGTTCGCTGACAGTATAAAATAGTGATATCTATTTACATATTTGTTCCTCCCACCCCCAATTTGAGATAGAATTAAGAAACACAATTTAGAATATTTCAAATCTCAATTTCAGCTTAATCAGAAAATATTACATAGCTACCATTGACTTTGAACCATTTCTGGTAACAAGGATCAGATTACTACTTCAATGTGGTTTTAATTTTGTAGTTAATAATTTCTCACACATGGCTAATAATCATGAACAGTAGGATAGTAGGTCTGGCACCTGTTCCAGTTAGGACAGTAAATCTGATGTTTATTCCTCCAGATGTTACTAAGCAATCCACCTTTTGTTTGGGTCTTTTTGTATTTCTTTGCCCTATGGATTTACACTTTAATACTTTTTAGGAAATATTTTCACTTGCAATTTCAGAAACAAAGACAAAGGGACAAGAAGTAGAAGAAATAAAAGACTACATTCACATGTATAGTGGTGTCAATAAAGAATTTAGAGCTAAGAAAGGAATTTCCATTGCTGTGTTAAAGAAATATAAATGTAACATTAAAAGTTGGCCATGTGTGAGTAAGAATATTTTAAAAATTGATTTTAAAATTTAATATATAGTTGTAGGAAGATACGGAGAAGAGTTGGTAAATGGAAATGGTGAATGACTAAAAGAATTATGTGCCCAGTAAAGTTTAAAAGGCATGGAATGGCTTTTTCAAACATAGACATTCACAAATTAACTTGGTCTAGAGGAATGAATAAAACCATAATAGATTACATTATTGGAAAATGCAACAACTAAATAAAGGTGGAAGATGTTTGAGTCTATAGAGGAATCGAGTGCAACTCACACAACTTTTTGTTGAAATCAAGAGTGTATCTTCCTTATGTAAACCAGACACAATAATTGGAAATTCATGTATCCAGTACCATAGAGAAAAAATAATACAAAATGGGTTTACATGAATATCCATCTATATCCTTCCTCAACAAGCTCACGAGTAAGAAACTATTAGAAGTGAACCAAACAACTACGCAAACACTCTACGATGGAATTGTAGATGTCATACATCAAGCAGCTTATGAGAGCCTCAGAGAAATAGAACATACTGTTGGGAAAGGAATACGTGACTCATGGTGGAATAATTCTTTGGCAGGGAAAGTGCAAGACAAGAAAATTGCTTATAATACATGGTTAAGCACTCAAGACATTGAAGACAGAACGATATCGTCAAATTAGTAGAGAAGTTAAACAAGAAGTAAGAAAAGCAAAAAATGAAGCTTGGGATAGAGCATGAGAAGATGTAGAACAGAGTATAGGCAATGCCAGATCAAAGAATGCATGAAAAATAATAAAGAACCACAGACAAAACGAAAAGCAAAATTCAGTACTACGATCTATAAGTATAGGTCAATTTAAAATATATTACAAAGAACTTTTGAAAGAAAATAGGTTTGCATTTAGTAACACGTAGAACATAGAGCTCAAGGAATCGGCTGATATGAAATATATTACAGTGAGAGAGACTGGAAAAACAATACAGAGATTTAAAAATGGAAAAGCAGCCAGTCCAGGATCGGTAAACATTGAATTGCTGAAGCATGGCCCCAATTTATTGATTGGATCTTCTTACTCAACTGTACAATAGATGTTTAATGGGGGGAGAATTACCAAAGGCCTTCAAGAAAGGATAGATATCTAACATCTACAAAAGAAGTGATAGGAAACAGTATGCAAAATATAAAGGTATAACTGTCCTTAGCAGTATTGGCCGAGTGTATGCGAAAAATATTAACAACCTGACTGGAAAGAGACCTCATTGATGTCCAGGAACAGAGCGGGTTGTTCATGTATTCAGTATTAGACAGTATTCACGTGTTCAGTATTAGACAGGTAACCAACAAACGTCTCGCCCATAACTTGGAGACACACCTTGTGTTTATTGATCTGCGTAAGGCCTGCAACACTATTCCATTATCTAGGCTATGGATGATGATGGAGAAACAAAATGTAAATACGCAATTGATTGGAGCCATTAAAGATTTGTACAGTGATAATACAAGCCAAATAAAAGTAGGGAGAAAAATTTCAGCACCATTTCCAGTAAATAAAGGTTTACGACAGGGGTGCTGTGTAGCCCCGACTTTGTTTAAAATATATTTGAATGAAGCCCTGAGAAGATGGAGGAACAAATGTTATAATATTGGTATTAAAATTGGTGACAATGTTATTCTCTCTACATTTTACAGATGATCAGGTGGTGTTCGCTGAAGATGAAGATGATGCTCTATACATGCTGCGAAAATTATACGAAGAGTACTCGGAATGGGGTTTAGAAATAAACATTAACAAGACTGAGTGTATGGTTGTAGGAGGAAGTGCTAAAGGTCTGAAACTGGATTATGGGGCGGAAGTTAAACCCTGTAAAAAATTCATATACCTCAGTTCAGAAATAAATGCAAATGGAGGCGGTACGCAAGATATTATAAACAGAATTGCAAAAGGTAGAGTGGCTATAAGTCAATTACATCCACTGATATGGAAAGATAAATTAAGAGTGTAAAAAGAAAATTATGTAAGACTGTTGTACAGAATATTGTTCTTTATGGATCTGAGGTATGGGAAGTAACAAAAAAAGAGTGAAAAGAAATTGAAGGCAATAGAAATGAATGTCTGGGACCGAAGTTACGGACTGACATCAATGGATAAAGTTAAGAATGAAGAAATTAAAACGTTAAGCGGAAGTGAGTTTTAATGTAGTTGACACCATAAAGTGAAAAGACTAAAATGGTATTGACACGTACAAAGAATGAACGAAGAGCGGTGGCCAAAAATATTGTGGAAATGGCAACCAGCTTCCCATTGACGAAGCGGAAGACCTAGACTTTCATGGGAAGAGGGAGTGGATGAGGCAATAGAGGGAGTGGATTAAGTAATGAAGACTACACCGATGGAGAGATGTGGATGCTGAGAAGCGAGGGACACCCTAGGGTGTAATATAACTCCCTATACAACTATTTTCACTAGCATTCTTCACACATGTGAAAGCCATCTCTTCTGATTCATTTTAATGTCAATCACAATATTTTTTGCTTTGAGTTTTTTTCTTATTTAAATGTTTCTTTGTCGATCTAAATGTGTAATTTCTACCAGTTGCCTGAAAAATCTCATTTGTGTGGCTTCTAATCTGACAGGCTCTTTGTTTTAGAGGCCATATTTCTGATCAATACATTGAGTTAAATGTTATGTTGTGAATTCCTAGTTTTGTCTCTGCTGTCATATAAGTTTTTCTTGATTATTCCATTTACCCCATTATATTTTTGAATTTTTCTTTCTTTATCTTCTGAATTTTGTCCAATGATGTTTCCTAGATACATAAATTTTACTACTTGTTCTATTATTTTTCTATGTATAACAATTTTAACCCTCCTCATTTCTTTGCCTTGGAATGCCATAGTTTGTCTTATTAGTTGAGATTTTCATGTCCTATGTTAGGGCTTTTTATGAAGTTAATTTGCTGCCCTCTTTAAGTCATCTGAATCCATTGTTGGGATCATGTTGTCTGCATAGAGAATTGTTTGGACCATTTTTTTTTTATTTAAATTTATACTGGTTTTCACTTTTTGATTGTGTGGTTTGCATACATGTTAAACAGGCATTGTGATAGCCCACACTCCTGTCTCAGTCCTAAAAGGCTCTGTATTGCTTCTATCATACATTCTTACTTTAATCTGAGAGTCTGTGTGTAGACTAGATTCTTTTTAGTATGTCTGTAGGTATCTCTTTGTCTCCCAGCATTTCCCACATTTTGTTTCTGTTGACCCTGTCAGAGGCTTTCTCAACATTTATAAAGAGGAGAAAAGTTGGTAGGTTCACTTCATTTCATTTGTTCAGGATAGTCTATACTGTGAAAATAGCATCTTTTGTACTTCTGTCCTTTCTAAATCCATTTTGTTTTTCTCCCAGGAATTTTTTGCTACATTCATTTAATCTATTCTTATGATATTAGCAAAAAGTTTTGATACTGTATACAGGTGAGTAATTCCTTTATAGCAATTTGTTTTTGATCCTTTCTTGAATAACTTTCTTTATACCCATCTGCCATTATCTTGCAAGTGAATTCTCATCCCAAGCTTTGTTACGTAGTTTTGTTAAGGTATTCTCCACATAATTTCCTCCGTATTTGCCTAATAACGATGATGAAAATTTTTAAGTTGCAATTTTTATGTGACTTTTAAATATAGACACTGTTTTACAAGCAAATGATGAATAAGGACAATACCTGAAGGCGTTCTAAAGTTTAGCAGGCATCTGACACATTCCAAACTCCCATGAAATGCTGCTTCATGTAATGGTGTCCATCCCATATGGTCCTTTTCGTTAATATTAATATCTGGTACATTTAGAAGTCTCTCCACTTCTTGAATGTTGTTACGGCGACACGCAATGTGAAGTCTTGTTTCACCTGTCACAAATGGAAACGTTTAAAGTATTTTGTAATCCTGCATGCATATTAGGGTAATTAATAAAAAAGAAAATCGCTAACCTCTCTTATCCTTTTTTGTGGCCTGTTTCACGTAATTTTGTGACAGCTGAAATTATTAAACATTTTTAGGATTAGAGAAATAGAAAATTTTCAACTTTCATAAATAACTAATATTGAGTGCTGCCAGTGAGTAAAGGTGTTTCTATTTAAAACCGAGCAAATCTTGGTACATTTTAAAAATAAATTATTGTTCAATAAAATGTCATAAAATACTCATGGAACATAATTGGAAAAAATGAACATTCAGACAACTTTCCAACTGAAATGTCTTCCTACAACTACAAAATTAAAGATCCGAGATTTTTCCTTCAATTAAAAACGTCCGTCTGTGGTTAACGCTAGCAGCTTAAACGTTCAGCCGATTTTCTCTAAAATTGATCTGGCTGATGTTGCGACCTCTGGATTTTGCAACCGATATTTTAATTTTGGGGGGTACTTTACATGAAGACCCTCAAACATTTTCAATAAAACCGCTCCAATTTTTTTTACTAAATTTTGTTATTCAATTGTGTGAAAGAGGTTTAAGAGAATGATGCAGTGCTCATTTTCAGTGTTATTGATTTTTCGAATATTGCAAAAAAAATTTATAACTACAAAATTGATGATAGAGGATTTTGGCTTAAAGTGTGTGGTACAAAATTAAGTCTCTAAAATAGGTCATGGATATACTTTGTAAAAGTTAGTAGTTTTGCGTAATTTGTGCTTAAAATTAAAAAAACACCGTCTTCATTTTTCCTTTAAATTTTCTTCATATATGTAATAAGGGGCAGTAAGAAATACAGTGCTAGTCCCATTTTCGGGTATTGCTCGCTTTTTTCGAAAATTGAAACAGAGTTTCAAAACTATAAACTTGAAGATATTTTTGCCTCAGGGAAAAGTTTGCTGTAGAAAATTAGCTATTTAAATAAGTAGATAAAAAACAAATAAACCAGTGGCATTGTTGAATAGCGCAGACTTTCTCGCCCTAGTTAGTTTTCTAATCCCTCCGCTCTTGACTAACTTTTGCCAACAGCCTCATTGTCTTCATGGCTGCTTTCATTTTGTCACCCGAAAAACAATTTTTTTTCGCAATTCCTCAATTACTCAGCTCTGTAATTCTAGAATAGAAAACACCATACACTTATTACTGTTATAGAAGTATTCATTAGTTTTCTGTGAAATGAGGTTCAAGTTTGAAATTTACCGCTCGTAGCTCTTAAAAACAATTTTCTTAAAAACTGCTCAACATTTTTTTGAAGAAAATTGCAATTTAGAGTGAGTTTTTACAGTTAGTGTTCTTAAAATAATATTTTCGCTCTACTATTATGAAACCAAAAAATCAAGAAAATATCAAAAAAATGTACTTTTGGCGGCGATAGATGGCAGCTGGCAAGAGTATGTTGCAAGTCCAAATTAGCTAGCCGAGACCAAAGGAAATAGAAAACTAATACGGGAAAGTCTGTGCTATACTGTACCAGCACTAGTTATTCTCTTAATTCTGTGTCTGCATATGCATGTATACAATACTGAATTTATCTATTATATGAAAGTGAAAATACACTATTTACCCATATAAAAGGGACATTATTTCCCCTAAATATCTCATTTGAAAAATTTGGGGTTGTCTTATATTTCCAGATTAAAACTAGATGGTTAGAACTTATGATTAAACACTGCCCTTCCATGTCAAGAAACTCGAATTCTGACCTAACAGCGTAAGTAGCAAAGACAATAAATATCACGCGCTTCTATGAAATCCAATTGTATTTATGGACATATTCTTGATATCAACCAAGAAGTTGCCGATAAGAATAAAGACAAGATAAAGAATAAAAATTGCTGCAGAGATTTTGTCACACAATGAGCTGATCAACAAGACTGCAGACTCTCGATCTGAAACTCGGCCAGGGCAAAATTGCGTTCTGCAAAACAAGGAAATGAAAAAAATTCCTCATTGAAAGCAGTATTCATTATAAGTCAATAGACAGAATTATAAATTTATATATACACACCCATGCCCACACATAAAATAAAATTTAAAAAAACCTTAGCAAAATCTTTACAAATTTGGGGACCTGATGTTCTCTCCCATGTCACGGTGATGTACAAGTTCACAACTCGATCACATGAACATTCAACACTGCATATTTCAAGTATATTTCGTTGAAGTATGAGAAAGAACTGTTTAAAAATTAGAGGCCATAAATATGGCAGGTTGAAATTCTGGCAGTTCAGAAGAAAATGTTCTTAGGTAGTGGCATATGAAAGACAAATTCAACATGCACAACTTTTTCATAGTAGACAAGATGGCAACACAGGATAGGACCAAAAATAAAAGAGACAAGTGACAAATGTAAAGATGATAGTGACAAAAATCGTGATTATGATAATTTTAAGGAAAAAGAAAAGTCCAAGCATAATTTTTCAGACAATTCAATTTTATTTTAAGAAATAGGTAAGACTCCATATTTATAGGGAAGTCTTACAACACTAGGGAACAAACAATTTTTTTTATACCTCCAGGATGAAAGTAGGCGATTTCAAATGAAACTGTCACACCAGTTTCAAAAGTCATTATAAAAAGTTTTTATTACACAATGATTGAAAGATATGAACATATTTATTATTTAAAATAAACAAATTTCTGCATTTTCACTCCCATTATATTACCACAAAATTTTATGAGTATGCTTCTTATGAGGTAAACAAGTTAAAAATGAAATAAATATATTCGCGCATTAATATGCAGTCATTAAAATGGTTTGTTGGTTTATCCACAACCCAAGGTTAGTGATGCAGGTGACAACAGTGCTGAGATTTGCCCTCATCACAAGCACCAAAGCCTAATATAAAGAATAAGCCAGTTTTATAATTTCATATTTTTCTTCTTCTTTGATGTTTGTGTGTAAATCTTTCCCAAACATAAACACAACAGAATTTATCAGGTTGATTTGCAAATTTTCGATGTGAAATGACAATTTGCATTTTATTAAACTGATTCAATTCAACAGATCATGTGACAAATTTCTTTATAAAACGTGTGTGTGTGTGTGTGTGTGAAAAACTGTACTCCAACATTTAGTAGGCGTTCACGACTATACTCCAGGAGAGTTTGGTATTGACAGTTTGGCTGCGTTTCTACGTTTCCTTGGCGACAGCATGCACTGGGCATATCGATTGACAGTTACGTCGGCATCCACCGACCCCCACTGCCGATAAATTTTATACATCGCCACATACAAGGGCCAAGATACGATTCGGTTAAGAGTGTGGGAAGCGCCCAGTCTTGGACCCGAATGAAACATAAGCCCTGAGAGATTGTAGCCGAGAAGGATTTCTTATGGTCACAATGTTGCATTATTAAAAGCAGTAGACATCGCGTGCTTGTACATTTGGCATCAGAGCACTGTATATCGGTAGCTCTCAATCCCAAGTTCAATCTCCTGCAGTATAGATAATAAAGCTTCTTTCCCCTTTACCCTCACACTTCATTATATTGAACATCAATAAAAAATTCGCACAAAAATTAAAACAAATTACCTCTTCTGAATCTTTGGTTGTAGCTTTGTTGCTATCTGGTTCTGCCAATAAAGTTTTGGAAATCTCTTCATCAGAAGGATAAACTTGATTCAATTTATTCAAGCTCTTCAGCAAAAAAACCTGAAGTATACAGACATTGTTACAAATACAAAGTATTGAGTGCATAATTCTAGTGTCATAAATAGGTATTAATAAATATTTAAGAAATCTTACTAAGACAAATGAAAATAATATTAAAACGTGAAATTTAATACCTATCCCAACTGAACAATTTGATTTGAATTCTTCACAAATGGTCAAATTTGTATAGCTTATACAAAGTTTCTTAAAATACCAAAATTCACAGATCATCCGAAGTTTAGATTCTCTGATATTCATTATTTTTCATTTGGTACGCTAATGAAAGTAAGAATACTCAAAAGTGTTAAACAACTAAGGTACTACCTGAAAGAAAAAACCCTTGATGCCATAAAAATGCTCTGAATCTTCAGAATGTGATAGTGAATATATGTAATATCTAAGCTCACAAGTTTTATTACATACCGTAGAAGAACTTCTACCTTAAATGCTTTTCTTAGCAAAGTAAATTAAAATTTAAACTTTATTATTTCTCTAAAGCTTTAGGAGACTTGCCTTCTTATTGCACCTAATGCTTCAATTGTGCATTTCAAAATATTAGGTAAGTGAGAAATGATGCATCTTGACTAAACTACTTGAATATATGAACTTTTTTTCCATATTTTTTTCAACGAATATCAATGCTGACAACTAACATTTCAAATTAAAATCAGAAAAATGATCATTTCATTAAATTTAAAAAAATTGAAAATTAAAATCTTGAACATTTTTAATCCAATTATAGAACACAACAGTGCCCAATTTCTTCTTTCATAAGAATTTTTCTTAGTAAATTTAGAAATACATAATTTCTGGAAATCTCTAATTTCTGTTTGAGGAAGCATGCAAACAAAGTTAAAACTACAACAGTTCACGAAAATCTCACAAATAGGCCAAAACTTTTATCTGACGATAGTCTTTTTAAAAATATTTATAATAAAGTAGTGATTAGGTAACATAAAAAGTTGTTTCTGAGAAAGGTGAGACAAAACAAAATTGAAATGGCATTACTTACAGTTGGTCGCAAAGACAACTCCATATTTCTTCCATAAAGCTTTTCTATCAAATTAGAACACACACAGACACGAAACCAATCGGGACTTAATGACTCCAGAATTAGGTGAACTTGTGTTACGTTTATAGCTGAAGGGAAAGATTCAAAAACATTCATTACAAACAATATTTGAAAAGATAAGGTACAAACTGATGAGTACAAGAGGGTTTGGGATGGAGAGGGGGAGGGAAGGAAGGGTAGAGAAGAGGAGGAGGAATTGGAGAAGAGAAGAAAAGGAAGCAAAAGATCCAGAACCAATATCTTTTAATGCAAATTTATATAATAATGACCTAACTCCTCCCTTACCCATTTCTAATTACAATAAAAGATATGTAGGAAACAAATAGGAAGCACCTATAACAGTTATAATATAAATGCAAATAGTCTTTTGAGGTGCATTTTATCGGATCTCAATGAAAGTGCAAGATGTTCATAGCATAGGATATAAAACAATGATGCAAATAATGATAATAAAAATAAATAAATGTTATACATTAATTTAAGGAACTCTATTCCTAGTATTAAAAATCATTTATTTCAAAATCAACTTCAAAACCAAGATTAAATATTTTTGAAAATAAATTTTTGGGAAAACTCTTTAAGTCTCACCTGTAGCCATCATGATTGAAGCAAAAGCATTTGCTAAATCTCTGCAATTAGATTCAATGTTTGGATACTTAGGTGGTTCAGAATTTCTCTCACTTGCGTAGGTAACACCAGCCATCAGACTAATAAGTCGCTATAAGAACAAATTCATATCTTAAGTGACAAAAAGCCTTAGTGTTAATGAAAATAGAAATTTGGCTACATTACGTTTAACATCAAAAAGTAATGATTAGATCAAGATAAAGGAATCATATCTGTTTTTCACGAACTCGTACCGATAATCATTTTAAAAGCTAGAAAATATGAATTTTTAATGAAAATAAGAAAATATAAATTTTCAAGTTACTTATATTACCATGCCCTTTGTATTTGAAAGTGTTCAATAGCCCCTTCTCCCATGTGCTCTGAAATTTAATATATTTAATTTTTACTTAATACAACGAACAGTGAATAATTTATGTAACCTAACCTCTTGAAGCTGAACAAAAACTAATGGTGCTACAATACTACTTTCTTATATTATTGGAAAGATTCATAATTTTACAATCTTTCAAATTGCAACCTATGAATAGTTCAGCCATCTCATGAAAAAAAACTTAACGAAATTAATTGCAGTAGATTAAAAAAATATTCTATCATGCAATGAATGCTGCAGTTATTTATGTTATACTGTGAAGTTTGATAACTCTTTATATAGAAACCTGCTAAGACACAGTTTTTTGAGAAAGAGTCTTGAAGTTATAATGTGAAAGTGTCCAAGAGTTACTTACCCTAAAATATCTATGATATTTAATATCATGATAAGATTCCATTATTTTCATGTACATTTTCATTAAATGTCTGCATTTTGTATTTACATTTCCTACAGTACCATGGGTTCCCCACAATGCAACAGCAATGAGTGGTCTTCCAGTTTTGCATGTGTATCGCTTAAGGTTACTAAAGTTTTTCAGTAAACCCACATTAAGATCAGCTTCCATTATACGTACGAGATAGTCCAGAGTATCAAATAGTTGGTTTAGTCTGAAAACAAATGGTATTTTTTAAATCAAAATAAAATCTTAAAACAATACACCTATATTTAAAAAAATTAATTTTTTAAAATACATGTCAAATGATAATTGAGGCTTGAAATAAAAAATTGTTATCAAGTGCCATTTCTGTGAAACTTGGTTGTTTTTGAATGAAATGAATCAAGTCCTACCATGTACACAAAGACTGAAACCCAGCATAGTTCTGGAAAAAGATTGAAATTAAAAGGGCAATAATAGACAGCATAAGGTGAAAGTGCCCACAGCTATAATGCATTAAACAATTAAAGTACCAGCGCTCACAGGTATTTACTATGAAATCTGTTCTGCAATTTAAACAGTCAGTAGACTGAAAATCCATGGTTTAAGGTATAGAAATTGTTGCTGTTCACTGAGGAAAGTAACTTCTTTTACTTTGGCAGTTTGCTGAGAAATTTTGTTGTTGAAACACAATTGAATATGGTATATATCTGCAGATAAGATGTAAACATTTTCATCTAGGTTTAATAGTTATACCATATATCTGTACTATAAGAACTCCTCAACTGCTAATGGACTATGAATTTAGTTTATATCATATGTTTAAAAAAGTTTGGGATTTCTAATGCTACAGATGGAACTGATCATGATTTGATATGGAATACTCATGACTAAGAGAAAATCAACTCGCTAAGTATAGAATTATTGGACCTGTATGACAAGCAATGAAAGCGGAGATGTATCTCATGAACTATTTGCCTCACAATAATGAATATGAGAAATGTTTATTGTTTTGAATCTGGCCTATAAGACAACCCCATCTTTGGGGGTATGTTTTGTGATTCATCTATCATGTTACACTCTGAAATATATAGTACATCAAAAACACAATTATTAAAAATTTCTGCTGCCAGGCCTGGTATTCAAATCAACATCTTCAATAACATTCAATGCTGGACTGATTCCAATGTTTTCCACTAAGTGTAACAAAAAACATAGCAAATAGTGAACTTCCAGATTTATTCTGCAAAAACCAAACTGTCAAAATAAGGAAGAAAGGTATAGAAACAATTTTAACTTGCCAGAACCTCAGTGTTCAAAAATGGCACATATTTTATTCTCCTTTAAGTATTCAATTAGTACATACAATCCTCAATTCATAAAGGGAATCAATATCATAATTATTACGAACTATCCCTTAATTTCTCGGTTAAAAAATCTAGTATTTTTAGCGCAACTATTCTTGAACGATGGATTGAAGAAATGCAGGGCGAGTGGGGGTATTAGGTACAAAATCCGCCACTAGATTTTATGAAAAAAGCCTATCTCTGAAGAATCAGTCATACATTCATAACTTTCTCAATAATTTGCATTCTTACTTTCTCAGGGGTTCCAGGTATCTCCTGTGATAGATATTCACCTGCTTCGGTAATTTCTTTACATTTTTAAATTGAAATGAATTGAATTAATACCTTATTTTACATGGCGAGACTCAGGCCATGAGACCTGCTCTTCCCTCTGACCACGTTCCTTTCACCAACTAGCAGAGAAAGGGGGTATTTCTTGGGCGAGAAACAGGCAATTTGAATTTAGCTCAGAGGTGTCATTTAGCCTTGAGGATCTTTTACATGCAAGTAAATCTACGAACATGGGACAGCCGGCTTTACTTCCCCTCCGAAGGAAGGCGTACGAAGGATTTTTTCGCCCTTAAAAATCCACAGCTTTGATTGGGTTTGAACCCGCCAACTTGGGCATAACAGTCTGATATGCTAACCAATACACCACCGCCGCATGCAAAGGAACCAATCACAGATAGAAGTTTTTGTCTTCAACAAAAAATTGTTTCTATTTCGCACCAGTGAAAATGTTGTCATCAGTGCTTGCTGTGAACTTTTGCCTTCAACTGTTTATTGTGACAGAGAGGGGGAAGCAAGCTCATCATTCAAGAAAAGTTGCGTGCGTAATAAATTTATTGTTGTGTAACTCACTTATTAGAAGGTTTAATATCATGCACTTCTTTTTCACATTGCAAAAGGGAACTTTCAAGAAATCTCTCCACCAAATCAAAAGATTCATGTTGATCACTAGAAGTTTTTGCTGCAGCATTATTTTCTGCATTTTGTATTTGAATTGCATTGATAACTTCTTCAATTTTTGACACACACAACCAGAATATTCCATCAGGTGCTTTCATCTATAAACAAACAAAATAATTTAAAGCAAAGGGAAATACAGCACACAAATTAAGAAACAAAAAATAAAGAGAAAGAAAAAAATTCAACTTGCATTGTTAACAAGGCTGTACCCAAAAACAAAAACAAAGAAAATTAATTCAACTTACATCTTTAACAGGATTGAAAAGCACTTTTCTATAGTAGTCTAACATTCCAAAAGCACACGGAGGATGCAACTTTAGCAAATGCCGTAACCATATCATTGCTTCACTTATCCCTTCCACCCAAAGCTCCTGAGAAAAGAAAATGAATTATTTATTAGAAAATAATTAACTTTATTAAATAAAATGAAAGAATTTGATTTTAAACATAAATGTAAAATATGACTGATTATATGCAATTTTTGTTGATGCTTTAGTACTCTCAATGAATGCTCAAATAGGCCGGGTGACAGGTGAAGGCATGGCCAGGAAAGTAATTTTTGATATAAGGCATTAGGATTACCTGATTAATGTCTAGAGTGTGCTTCACTGCCATGGTCATTGGCACTTGTATATAAGTAATTTTAAAAACTTTAATAGATTTGATAAAAACAGAAAATGCACTGCAGAGTGCTAAACACCAAATGAAGGAACTATGTAGTTTAAAATGAAAGCTGCATAAGATTATTATTATTATTATTATTATTATTATTATTATTATTATTATTATTAATAAAAAACATCTAAATACAAACTAAATTTAAAAAAACTTCTAAAAATTATCGAATTAAAAATAATCGATGAAAAAATCGAAAGGGTAGAACACTTACACAAAATTATAACTTGTTACTTCATTTGAGACAATATAGTTTAAAATGTCTTTTAAACATTTAAGAAGACCATTCTTTTTTTTGAGCTGGGGAAAAATTTATCTATCCCTGGCTGACACAAGACTGAAATAGTTCAATGATGAATGCATTAACATACCATGCAGCCGTAAAGAAGATTCTGCAAAACTGAGGTTGTGGGAAATACCAAACCATTAAGTCTACTTTGTATAAGATCAATGGCACTAGATCCATTGTCCATTCTCCAAAGCAAAAATTCATCATAAAACTCTGACTCTTCAGGACAAAGCTGCAAAAATATCAAATTATTTTTACAATGCAATAACAAAAGATAATATTCTTTCAATTGACTGTTAGAAATATTCTAAGTAAACATGAAATACAGGGTTTATACCTCTTTCTTTCCATGGAAAGAATAGCAATCAGCTGGTCCTGTTTCACAGCATTTAGGGACTTCATCTGTGTCCAAATCTATCCATGGCCGACAGAATTTGGACAGAAGTACTTCAGCTTGTGCTTGGCAAACTCGCATTGCACTTGGTCTAATAACTTTGGTGGATAACTTGTTAACTTCTTTAGAAGAAGTTGTTACCTCTGTTGTATCCTTTTCACAAACTTTTCTCTCAATGCATGGAGAAACTATTTCATCTAAATTACTAATATTTTTGTCCCTCATAAGTGAAGATGAGCAGGTCACTGAAAAATTGTTTTCTTTATTTTTGAAAACACTTACTTGTTCTTCTTCTAGGTATTCTTCTCTTTCACAGTTCTCACCTTTACTACATTTTTTAATTGCTGTCACCCGGTCATTTCCTTCTACTGGCATTGCATGCGTGTCTTCATGAACTTCAAAAGGGGGTGGAGGGCTGGGCAAACTTGAACCTGTTGCATTTTCATCCTGCCCTTCTAATACATTATAATTAATATTCACATCATCTTCTAATGGATGCATAAATGCAAATTTTGAGCAAAGGTCATCCAAATGAGAGGATGTTTCCAGATGAGAAATGTAATGTGGTTCTTGTGAACTTAACCCTCTCATTTCAGATCCTTCATTTTCTTCTAAACCAATTCTCGTTTTAGGCAATTGGTTTGTATAAGAAGATACATTTTGTATTTCGATTTTTCCTTCAAGTGAACAGGTATCTGAATCATCTTTGAAGCATTTTTCTCTTTGAGAAAGTAAATTAGGATGGTAACTGATTACACTACTGCAATCATCATCATCATCATCATCATCATCATCATCCTCACATTCTTTTTTCATTGAACCTGAAAAACACATGTTCTTTATTAAGATTTTCCAAACAACACATTTTTGAAAGATTAAAATTGCACACACTAGGTAGCCTTTGAAACAAAAAGTTGACAAAATTTATCTACTTCATGGGTTCATTAAAAACATTTTTTTTAATGAGCCTATTTGGGGTGAAGGAAAAAAAAAGTTTTGTAAAATAAAGAACACATTCTTTTATTTTTTGTTGATTGATTAAATGAAGATTTACAACTACCCTCTTATTCATTAACACATATTGCAAAGATTTAATGTATTTAAACACTTTTTTAAATTGCAAAAAGAAAGTAAAAAGTTTCTTTGACCTATAAGGATGAAGCACACATTTTCTGATTTGCAGAATCACTACCTTACTCTTACTATACTAGATGGCAATGTTTCAAATGCATTTTACCCTGAAGAAGGTTACAGTCACAGCATGATTGCTGAAATGTTGGGCATCTCTGGCTAGGATGCAATATCTCCCAGACAGACAATTGTTATATATGTATATATATATAAAATCAATGGGCAACGACACACTGTTAATACAAAAGAAAGAGAGCAGGTCCTAAGATTGGATTCTGCAGGACATCATGCCCAATTGGCAATGAATTGGGGAGATAAGTAAACAATGTTCTTTCAGTCTGGTGTGGTATCTCTACACTTGAGATCAATATTCAATGTATCAAGATATCCAATCCAGAGTTATGCCACGAATTCCATTTGAAGGGAATTTTGAAAGCAAAATATTGTAGTCAATGACATTAAATGCATTTGAAACTACAAGTATTTCAATATGTGATTCATTTTGATCCACTAACGAAGCAACATCTTTAAGAAATGAAATTATGGACATTATTTTAACTTTCTAAATCCATGTAGAGTCCAAAAACACTGCTTCCTGAGAAAAGTTTCCATTCACGTAGAGAAAGAAGGGATTTAAAAGCATAAAAGAGGACATCAAGATGTTCAACAACTTGGTTGGTAAATACACACACATCAGATGCAGCCACTCATAATCAAAAACTGGTAACCTTGGAAAAATGAATTGGTGTCACTAATGAGGCAGTGAAGTGGGTCTTGGAGAAGACAACCAAAAATCAGCTTAATAATATTCAACAAGACCAGACGAGAAATATACAGGGAAAGGGTCAAGAAAATTGAAGGATGCTCGCAATCAGACTGAAATCCTACATGGTGTGAGAGAATCCACTTAACCTCACCCGAGACATAAACATTCTGAAGTTTCGAGGATGTTCAGCTACCTTTGGGAGAAATAAATATTCCTGCAAACTCAATGAAGTTTGCCATTACACTTCACAGAAATTTTTTCCCATACTAAACCTAAACATTTTGAAGAAAGATTAATATATTTTTTATTTTATGGACAATTCTGAAGATCCCTTAGGAAATTTCGGAAACAAACATCACATTAAACATTTTTTGGGAGAAAGCTTTATTATGTTGATTGCTGTGGTTTTAGATCTTTCCTGAGATCAACCACAATTTTTGAGAAGTGTTGGTTGATTAAAAATGACAATATTCTCTACAAAGGTTCTAGTTAATGTGGTTGCATATTACTTTAGTCCTCCACTACTAGACTTTCCTCAAAATGGTTTTGGAAGTTGATATAGAAGTTGTGAAACACATTATTATGTTAAGAAATGAAACGAGTGTGTTCATTTACACATGATGTTTCTACATCTTGTTTTCCAAACATTGTTTTTCAGTGAAATATTTATTTTTTCCTTTTTAAGAATAAAGCACTTTTGAAGAGAAATGAAAATTTCAGGAAAGTGATGTTTATAAACAATTATACCTTACCTTTTGTAAAAATCTACATTTACAATTTAAATTCAACGTGTCAGTGCTCCAAGTTGCTGGTAATTGTAAGAATTGTGTATTGTGGTCACAGTGACCAAACATAGTTATTTCATTCCTATCCTACGGTTTTGTTAGTTACGATTTGGCCCATTGCTTTCTTTAATGGTAGTATCTCAACTGACGAGTGGGAATAAATTGAGAAACTGTTCTTTTTCACAAGATTCACCCAGAAACAGAGCAATAAAATTTTGAAATACATCAATGAATCCAAAGAATGGTTACTGACTTTGGATAACTAAAGATTTAAGACAGTGCAATAACCTTAGAAAAACACCAAATGTTGTTATTACTCGGATTTCTTATAGAATTATATCAATGTATGCAATTAACTTAAAATTTCTTAATAAATAAATAAACATACTTTTTTGAAAGTGTTTGGATTCAGGAACAATCACACCACCAGCATCATCTGAACTACAAAGATCATCACACGTAAGATCAATAACTGTTTGCGATGAAAGCCACAGATCTTCATCTTCATCAGATGAAATGATGTAAACTTCACTGTCAATACTCTTTCTATTTGGACTGCCTGACAAATTTACAGACACATTCCTTGTATCAGATACTTTTTGTTCCAGTTTGTCAGAAGTATTGAGATGAACCACAGGCTTCTCATCACATAAATCTACCACATTGCAATGTGTTTGCCAACTTGGTTTTTGCTGAACTTCTTTCACTGAAACACTAATGGGTGAATCTTCTTCATCAGAGGAGATTACAATGACACTTGGTATATCTGTATCTACAGATGAATACGTTCCTAAACAATTTTCCGCAATGCTATTACTGTTGCAAAATCTGCTTGTAGTTGTACAGTTCTTGTCAGCAACACTTGAATTCCAGTACGAATGATTGCTCACTTCTCTGCACTGCTCGACATTTTCAATTTTGATACCATCTGTCTGAACAAAGTAATTGTATACCTTATTCTTCTGGGGGGAGAATGATTTTCTTCTTTTGTTGGGAGTTCTCCCATTTCTTGGAGAAAGTACCCTTTTTTTTGTAGGGCTTGGCTGAGGAGAGGGTGTCCAATGCAGATCATCAGGTTCTACATGATGCCATGAACTTAATTTTTCTATGCACTGACTTTGAGAATGTTCCCTCCGGGGGGTGAAACTATTTTGGGATAAATATTCACCCATTGGAAAATTGCTTGGGGATGGCTTTACTGACGAAGTTACAGATCTTATTTCAGAGACATTATTATCATTATGTTTTACTTCCAGTTCAGACATAAGTTGACGGTTAAAATCCACAGTAACAGATATAGCAGTGTTCATTAAAAATTTTCCAGTACTGTTCAAAGTAATTTTGAAATTATCTTTTCCGCAACAATTCCAAGCACCCATGCTTTGATCGTCATCAATGATGCCAAGAGGAGTTCTCAGAATCTCCTGAAAAATTGAGCAGTAGATTAGATCTTACATTTCTCACCATCCACATACATTCACAACTTGAATTTTTACTTTTTTAAATGTATTAATTATTGTACTACTTAAATATTGTGTTTAATTAACAACATTAGTGCTACATGGACTTGTCCACAGTTAAATAAACTTTATACACTTAATAAAATGTATATCTGTAACACAAATGACAAACACCACAGTAAGGTTTCATACCAAGCTTTTAGAAAGATGTACATCAATCTATTCTCTTGAATTTCAACCAATTACATGAAACCAGTAATAAAATAGTGTTGCTTCAACACCACATACTTTCTCACATTATTTCCAGCACCACGTACAGGCAAGCAAGAATAATTTCACAAATAAATTAAACATCTAACACTACAGTCCAACCAATATATCACATTATGAATGCATTTGAAATGATGACATCATTACCTTATGCATGTCAGTATATAATCCGTCCCCAACTTTAATAAAGCTGAATATACCACTTTATTGAACATAGGGAATGTTGTAACACCAACATACAGAAAATAGAACTGCCTTATCTTTCCCATCATATCACCATTCAACAAAGAACTTCTCAAAAGCCATCACTACATTGTTTCACAATACAACGTATTGTAGTAATATGAAATTAACATAATCAATTTAATCCCAAATTATAGTACTCAATGATTACAAATTTTTCTTTCATATTACATTTAAAACATATTTTTAAATGAAAAACCCTAACTAGCTTAATTTCAATTAAAGTTTGCCAATTGCTTGAAAGAAAATACATCAATACATAAAGAATACAAATTGTAGAATAGATTAAAAATTGAATTAATATAGAGATTGTCAATAGTAAATTATAATTAAAATTAAATTATTTTTCATATCCCTTTGATACATGCCTGTTGTGTGAGAATTTTTCTTGTCGCCTTGCAGTTGGTCAGATACCTGTATATATTTCATTAATTTCAAGGACAAATTTTGAGAAACTACTAGTTTCTACATACAAATGTACATGACCATTTTTAATGAGCAGATTTTGTTGACAACAAAAATCTCTATCTTCCACTTTGTGGTTTTCAACATCACGTTTTTGCAATTTTCCAAAATACAGTTATCAATGAAAATGAGAGTCATTCTTTTAAGTGGGTCTTCTTCTAGCCACAGAAAAAATTTTGATTTTTTTTTTTTGAGAAATAATTTATTTTTTTTTAGAAATTGCATAAATTTTAAGCGCTTACATGAAAACTACTGGGTTTTTTACCCCTTAAAAAAATTACACATGACTTTTTTTTAAACAGCAGATTTTTTTACTACTGACTTTGAGCAAAAATCTCCATCTTCAATTTTGTAGTTTTGAAATGTGTGATATAAAGCCATACCATGCATAACTCAGTGAAACACATTAGGATGATTTTGAATTTCTGAATTTACTAGAAAAAAAATTGAAAATCTGAACATTTTTATATCAATGGCATGTTGACCCAGACAGCTTGCATGAGTTATGAGTGCAACATGTTGTCACTGAACATAGATACAAGGGCTTCCACGTTTGACTAATAACCTATCGTGGACCACAATAAATGGCACCGCAGAACACCAGTTGGACAACCCTGTACTAGAGGAAGTTATTACTGTATATAGGGATCAGATTTATGCGATTGTTCAATGTAGGGGCCCAGCAAGAAGAGTTTTGCTGTCAAAAATTCACAATTTTTCCTAGCAGCATCACAATACTTTCTCTATACTGTATTAGCAGCATAGCTACTTACCTCATGTCTTGATGACGAAATGTGGCACTCTTGTCCAGAGAAATCTGCGATTAGGCATTCCTCTAAAAATAAGAAAAGTACAGTACCATAAGAATACTTTTCAATTTATCATTGTGTTAAAAAATTGATAAATCATCTAGTGATTGCTTGGCAAAGAAACATGAAACTAATGGACGTTAATAATTCTTTTTTTCGATTAATTTAAAAAACTAATGACAATTTGCAAATAAATTAGAAAGGAATCAGAAAAAATTAATGATTTTACAACTCCAGCTATTACCTCTCCTTCCCCGGAGTCTGCAGTCATATTTAGAAATATCTGGTGGTGGGTCCTGCAGCAAGAAAGATTAAATTGAAGTGAATAAATGTAATTAACAATTCTGACACTGTACACGAAATATTAATAACATATCTAGTATATAAAAAGTAATTAAATGCAATATACTATATTTGATGAGTAATTGTATAGATCTCCATACAAATGCTCTTAAAATCTAAAGAGTTCCAATGTTTAATTTATTTTCATATGTTTCCAGTGCAGATATTAAAGAAGAAACAGAAAAGGATGATGACTAAAATAACAACTGGAAGAAGAAAAAAAAACAACAAAAAAGCATACAGAAGTTTTACCAAAGTGTTTGAAAGTAAACAAGTTCAAAAAAAAAAACTGCTGAATTTTTTTTACTTGGTACATTTAGTGCTCCACCTAGAGTTAAATTACCTTGCATTAGACATTGCATTCGTGAAAGTGGAATAATCAAATTTATATTCACTGTTTTAATAAGTATGTGAGTGCGTATTTTTATTTTATGGTGGGCAAGAAAAGCACTTCATATAAGAAATTTTTGATTTCGAATTAAGTACAAAAAATTATTTGGAAAACAGTATATTTTTTTCGTTGTTAAAAATTCCATAAGATAGTAATAAGACAGTCAAAATATAGAGTAAATCACTGTCTGACCTTGAAAATAAATGGTTTAAATCAGGATGTAGCAGTTGTCCTGCAATGTGACACTCTGAGACATGTCAAATTTTTTGAAAACTAATTACATAAGACACATTAACAACTGTAATACAAAGTATGACACAATATTGAGTTAATACGAGAATTCTGGATAGATTTTTGTTCCTACTACCACTAATTCAGAGGTAATAAACTTTCTATTTCTTAACCCAAATAAAATTATATCTTCACATCTAATTTTACAATTTTACTAAAATTACAAATTTCATTTCTAAAATAACCTCAACAAATTTTGAATGACATAATCAATAATTATAACTTCAATGTGATCAAATATCTCATATTATTCTGATTTTCACTACACCCTTTTAAATAATGGTTCATATTCGTGAATAAATATTACCTTTAACTAAGGTAAGCAAGTTTACACATGCAAAGAGTACTTCCACAAAAAATACGCAATTAACAACAAGTGAATGTCATACGTTTACAATAGTATTTTCTTAGCAACTGAATTGCCAAATACTTACGTTCAAATGCTTACATTCCGAAAAACTGTCTTGCAGCGTAAACACTTCATGACAGCACAAAATTAATTTATAAACACTCGACTGAAGTACATTCAAACAAATTTCTAATACATTTTCGTGGACTGACGTTCCGAGATCTTTTATGTGATGTACGAATTCCCGCCAGTACAAGTAAAGCCTCAACTAACTCCTATATACACATCCCACGCATGCCATTCAAACCACACTTCAGTAGAAATAATTTTAATATTTTCACAATGCTGTCTTGACATCACACAAGTTTACTACGATAACATCAGATAACACGCCTCTTACTGAGCCATTCCAGAAATAACACTTTGGATTAATAATTCTGTAATAACAGATATTAAACAACAAACTTGGCATCACCCAGATGATAGTTAGAAAAAATCTTGGAACGCTTCTTTTAGTACTACCTGGTATGGAAATTAAATAATTACTGTTGAATCTCTTATACAAGAAACGAAGAAAGAAAATGGAAGTCACATTCGCTCCACAACTAATCACTGTAGATGGAATTTTACAGTGAAGCCCCGCCAAAATCTAGGAACTTGTATACTCGTTGACATTCCGTTTCTCTGAGCACAGCCCGCTAGCAACGCCCCAAGTATAATATAACAGAGATGTCCACATCAACGTCACAACATTTGGCGGGAAAGTGTTGGAAGGCAAGGCAATCTCTACTGTAAGGATAATTTCGAAAGAATTAATAAGTTTATGGCAGTATTATGCTGTTGACAACGTTTGTGTTTCATATCACGAATGTTATTTACAATTACATTTGTTTCTTTCGGTTTGTTTAGGGTCTGACAGCTCATCTCGTTCAAAACATTTCATTTAAAGAAGCACTATTCTGTTAGATCAATGTCTTTTATATTGAAAATGGTTTGAAGTAAATATTATCACGACCTTAGCGATGATACCAAGTTGTTAATTTATATAAAAAAATAATGGAATCTATGAAACATTTGAATCCACGTGCCCTTTCACCGAATATGAAAAGCGCCATGTCGGGTAGGGTTGAATTTCGAGCCCCAGTGCTATTCGAGTAGGACTTCAGATTTAATAAGTCAAAAAGAGTAAAAACTGTATGTGACGTAGGGAGGAAAAGATTATCTGCGCACGCTTTCTTGAGTTCCAGAATCCCTTTCGGTCATTTTAACTATAAATAGTTGAAAGGTGAGTAAAAGTTTAACATACATAAATAAATTTTAAAAATCGAAAGATTAGCAATATTTGAAAAATAGTCATTTTTGTTTCTGAGTTATAGAAAACTTATTTGCATCGGTAAACGAATTGCAAGTATGATTTTTCTGCATTGCTGACAAAATAGCAACTCGCCCTTACCTCTACTCTTACCATTACAAGCAACAGGAACCTTCAACAAAACGTGCGCATAGTGAAGCTACATTTACGTCCAGAAGCAAAACAAGGGGCCATCTCAGCATTTGCTCAATGGATCAGGGAAACTGGACAAAACCCTGATCGATATGGGGGTCATTGACCCGGAAGCTGAAGTACATTATTTGATACAAACATATTAAGTCTTTAAAAAAATACAATACATATGTAAACTAATTCATAATATATCACAGTTATGTTAAAATAAACATTTTTCTTTTTGATACTCAGTGTAGTCTCTAATTGTATAAAAAAAGTTATGCAGCAGAAAAGATTTTACATTTAACTTCAATTTGTGAACCGACTTTAATTACTTAAAGTCTTCTGGCAGATGATCGAGATGGGGGTCATTGACCCGGAAGCTGAAGGACATTATTTGTTACAAACATATTAAGTCTTTAAAAACATACAATACAAATGTAAACGAATTCAATACATATCACCGTTTTGTTAAAATATTATGGTTAAACATTATTTTTCTTTTTGATAATCTCAAATTGTATAGAAAAAGCTATGCAACAGAAAAGATTTTACATTTAAATTACATTTGTGACCCGACTTCAATTGTTTAATGTCATCTGACAATGCGTTGTAAAGTAACACACATTATTGTATTTGGATTTCTGATAGAGATGTTGATACTGACACTTGATGAAAGTGATTTTTACGACGTGTTGTAATTATAAATATTAGTATTGCATGAAAATATGTTCCCACCGTTAAGTATGTCACTTTTGACAAATATTACAGATTCGTAAATATATAGGCAAGGCAGTGGTAAGATTCCAATGCTCAATGAAGAGAGGCTTGCAAAGGTAACGCGGATGAAATTTTTCCATTATTCGAATACTTTTCTTTTGCAATCTGAGTACTACATGATGAGTTTCCCCAGAATTTTATACCATATCTCAGGCGGGAATGTGCATGTGCAAAATACACGCAACGAGTTGCATGAAGGCTGACAGAATTTGATAGAATTCTGAATGCGTAACATAATGAACTTAATTTAGTGTTTAATTTTGTTATATGTACATTTCATTTGAGGTTTGACTGAATTGACAGACCTAGAAATTTTGTTACCAGAACATCTCCTAATTGCATATTATTCATTTTCAATGGAGCATACGATTGCTGATTTGAAAGGCAAAAATGCATTGAAACTGTTTTTCCTTCATTGACTATTAATTTATTACGAAACCAATTTGAAATTTCTAAAATCGTACAATTTATTCTTTCTTTTTTGCAAAGAACATTCGTGTCGTCGGCAAACAGAACCGTTCTTCACTGACTCAAACTCCTTCCATACATTTTTATAAACTGGCTTTTGAATATTTATTTTAGAAAATTGTATTACCATTGACAGAAATAATACCTAACTTAAATAATCTTCGAGGAAAAAATTAAGAATGTTCATAAACAGTCTCAAATATGTTCGTAAATTTTCACGGAATGCAGGAACTTACAACACTAAGTTAACCAGAATTTGATATAATTTAACCTATTTATCGGTCACATGCCTCTTTAACCCTTGTTAATATGCAACCCTAAGTTTGTTAAGTGCACTTGTAATACCTACCTGTAAGTTAAGAAATTTAAAATCCTTAGCAACGGATTAACATCCTTAGTAACCTAAATAAACAACCACCCATTCATCGCAAGTCAACATTATTACGAAAAAATTACATGGTAATTTACAAGAAAAATAGTAATCAAGGAAACGCATTATTTTTGGGGATGTTCATTACTAATTGTGCAGTTTAACGTTCAATATCTTTAAGAATGCATACAGCTTGTGGAATGTTTTCAAGTTCACATTTTATTTTTTAACCTAGTGCATCTCAGCTTAGAATAATAGAATAGACCCATAATGAGGTTGGCTTGTGTACCTGCGACTGTAAAACAAAACGTAAGACTAAGGTTTGTCTTTATAAATGGAATAAATGTAAATTACCTTACTAAGTTCTTAAAGTACGCAAGCATTTCATCTTCTGTAATCACGGGTACGTGATTTTGTAATTGTCAAGTTTTAAATTCTTCGTATGCCTTCTCGTATCGTGCTTCAGATTTTTCAGATTAAATCTCGCGTGGCTTACGCAGCTACATCTAAAATTTCTTGAGGTACAGGTGAATTTTCAGCGTCCATCTTCCTCGAGCCACGGTATAAAAGTGTATTGTTGAAATAGATATATAGCAAGCAATACCCAACAATATCGATTATCGTGTGCAACAACAGAATTAATGTGTTTCATATCGCAGTAATGTAAATTTTCTCAAAAAAAAAATTGAGATTTTATGGTGACCGATAAAACGTTGAACATTCACGAAATGTGTGTTATTACTGCCTCGTCCAAATTAAAAATTTCGGCTTCGCCTTGATTTTTAACTTTTGGCATCGGCAGTAATAACACTCATAACATTTCTAGGTATGTTAATAGCTATACTTTTTCAACGTATTAATCACAATATATGGTTATTTAAAAATATAAATAAATATTACTTTTTAATACATTAAAAAAAATTGCAGTTTCCTGTGCTGAATTGAAATTTTAATGGTTGAATTTCAATATTAAAGAGCGCATTTAAAACATTAAGTGTGTTATCCCCAATGATTTTAATGTAAGCATTTTTCATCACACGTGTTTTCAATATCTTTTGCTTACCAAGTTTTCATGAGCATTTGATGCCATTTCTTCCGATAGAATTAGCACACACAATTTGATAACTCAGGTGGCAGAAGTAAATAGAGTACTTGTTTTGGAGAGCTAGTATGTCATATTTGAGCTTGGCTTTTTAAACAAATGGCCTTGAAGATGCACAAAATTTTAGTGGCTCATAATGCTGCGTTTGTTCAATTCGTTCAGACATCGCGTGTAAATGACAACTTATTTTTTGTGAGAGCTATGCCCATTTCAATAGGGTTGTTTATTGCAAAAATATGGTAAAGCTACATACGTTTACAGGAGAAACACTTGAGAATGACAGAAACAATATTTAGATGTTTAGCCGTTTGAACTGCGAATTACGAGGACGATGTTACCTGTATGTGGCTACTACTGACTTGAAACAATCTTTAATTAATCTAGCTCTCGCTCGTCGTCTTTGGCTTCTTTTCGAGCATCTCCTGGGCGATGTCATTGGACAGTACTCAATACTTTCGGAACAAACATGGCAAGCATTCAAGTTAGATAGTGGAGAGTACCACAGAGCACAATCAAATATGTGTATATTCTAACGCCACTCTCGCCTAATGAAACTAGTACGCATCTAATGGGGAGTCGTAGACGAATGCTCGTTAAGAGCTTTGTATTTATCTCAAGCGGCAGGATATTTTGTGGAGAGAAAGTAAATCCAAGTACACATAAATCAATGAAACTTTGCTTATATATTCTGAAATCAAATGTGAATACAAGACACAAAGAAATAAACACACAATTTACATACGTTCGCTTAACGAGCGACACTTCTAAGCTTTGACCTTTGCTTTCAAATCATATCTTCTTTTAAAGAAATCAAATTCTTTAATCAGTTGGTACCGCGAAGGTAAAATACTTTGCTATGATCTGCAATGAGTTTGCTTTACACCTCAGAATTAAATTAACAAACATAAATGTTAAAATTCTTATCATTAACTTCACATAAAGGCTGTAGCAGGAAAAAAAGGGGGGAGGGAATGCCCTCAATTTTAACCCATTAATGCTCAGATCTTTTTTGTTTCACAAAAATTTTTTCGACTACATTGTTCTACAATTAGTTAAAAGTCAACACTTGATTATGAATTTTCCATTGTTTACTTCTAGATAATTACTGTTAATTTTCTTGCCACCAAGCACTTAGTGTAAAATTCAATTGTTATTTACTTAAAAAAAACGCTTCCATTAGTTTCCAATTGATTATTCTTGTATTTTAGACAGTAATTTGCACTTTTCAGGTTTTTTATATTTATTAAGAATTTTTATATTTACTACGTGAACTTTAAAAAAAAAATTTACAAACTCTCTTTGAATATTTACTCTGCAAGTAAGATTTTAGGAATGGAAAGTTTCAAAACACTTAGGATGGAACGCTATCTTACAAAAAGCATGATCTTCCCTGACATATCCTGCATCTTTTAAAAGCCTGGTTTCCTTTGATTGCAATATGATCTCTTCCATCGAGTGCACTGACGGCAATGGCTGCGAGCGAC